TGGCTATGATTTTCCTTGATACTAGGTAGGGATAGCAGGAACATGATCCCCACTGTTTCAGAATGTCTTTATCCAGCCCTGATTTGCAGTGCTGTGCTAGATCCTTGGCCAATGGTTGGATGATAAGAAAAATATAGTTGCGTACCTACGAGTTTTGATTTTGGGGTTTTAATTTTATAAGTATGCTGCTGGGAAAGAAACACAAGTCAGGAATGGAATGGAACATAGTAACATTCAAAGTATACATTTGAATCTCCTGATGTTAATTTAATATCAGAAAGCGGCCATGGGGAAGGGGATTTGGATCAGAGCCCTAGTGCTAGGGGAGTTAACCCTTTCCAATCATTTCCGTAATAGAAGCAGGGTCCTCCAGTTGCTTTCAGCCCTGGGGAAAAAGACAGGTACATACTTGTCTTTTTCCCTACCAACAACTCATAGCAGCTTGAGGGGAACGAGCAATTTCAATAACAGTACAGGAGGCATCACGGCCTTGCTCTTGGGCCTGGCCATAAATATATAAATCTCTAGAAAATTCTCCCTGTGGCCTTGTAGGAAATAAATCATCTTAAAAAACCCCAAAAACTAAAATCAAACAGCATCTCTTTTCCATCTCCACTGTAAGATGATGTTTGGCTTGGACCCTCCCAATGTTCTGTGGAGCCCCTCAACAGTGTGTGATTAGCTCTGTCTCCCATGGGAGCCATTTTGTGGTGGAACCCATTACCCTTTCCCAAAATTCTAAAAGCAAGTTTAGAAAATCCACAATCTATCGCTATGTAAAACGTAAAGAGTTGAAGAGTTGGTTTTTACACCCTGCTTTGCTCTATCCTAAAGAGTCTCAAAGCGGTTTACAATTGCCTTCCTCTCCTTACATCAGGTGCCTTGTGAGGTAGGTGGGGCTGAGAGAGTTCTGAGAGAACTGTGACTGGCAAAGGTCACCCAGAAGGCTTCATGCGAAGGAGGAGTGGAGAATCAAATCTGGTCCTCCAGATTAGAGTCCACCACTCTTAACCACTATACCACGCTCGCTCTCAGTATAGAAATATAAAAAGCCATGTGCTAACTTCCATTCTCAATAGGGCATCCATAAACCACGGCTTTTTTAGAACAATTCCATGTAGGTTTGCCAGTCCCTTGTGGGGGGTAGGGGAATCGTGCTGACGATGGACAATGTCACTTCTGTGGAAAACTGGAAGTGGTAACACATCTCTCTAAGAATTGGTTAAAACTCTATGCTAAAACCATAGAGTTCTGGGCGATTCCTAGAGATGACTGACATCACTTCTGGGGAAAGCTGATGGCAACCCCCCATGCCTGGCAACTCTTATTCCACTTAGCCAGATCCCACATGGTTTGTGGCATGTGTTTTGTAGAACTTGTATCAAATTTCTCTCAAAGTAACAGGCAGCCACAGCCAAAATATGGCACATGTGATCAGACTAGTTAGCAAGGAGACACCCACACAAATAAAACTGCACTTTTGAGTGAATGAATACACAGAACCCCAAGTAGTCACTTCCCACATTACATCTGTTCAATGGGGTCTGCTGTATGATCAGGGCCTCTTTCAACTATGTTCAGTCATGTACATCGTCAAACAACAGCTTGAAATTCATTCCTCCTTCAACTAAATCTAATGTATATAGTTAAACAAGGGCTTGGAACTCCTTCCTAGGAGGAAGGTATGACGGTAATGTCTTAAAGAAATAAAATAAAAATACATAGGAAGGAAATAGCCTTGTCATGTTGCTGATGCCCCTCAACTCAGCCACATACTGCAGGCTAAGCCAGGAGAAATACAAGGGACAAACTAAAACGGAAGGTGCAATTTATTCCTGGGATTACTCATCCTTCTTTTTCCATTTCCTCAATGACGACAACATCTTAGCCAGTCTATTTCATCCTCAACTGTTGTTTTTTTTTTGGAGGGGGGGAGAATCATTCTGAAGATTCGACAGGTAACCAATTGTGGTGTGGAACAATTAGGAGAAGGAGTGGAACAAAGCTACCGGGAAATGTTCCAAAAAGGCAGTTGAGAATAAATGTCAACAACCCTACCCCCTTGAGGCACTGCCACAATGCCAAGCAAGTTAATAACATGAAGAATCACCAAATTCTATGATCAGGTAAGATTTATAATTTTGCTCTAGATTGGTAACACTTTCTTGTTACTAAGGTATGTTCTGCTCATTTTGCATAACTGATTCCAATTACAGAACGTCGGAGGGCATACGGTACAGAATTTTTTTTATAGGCATTGACACGGGAAAGAAAGAAAAGGAAGGTTGTACTGAAAACAGGAACAGTAGCAACATATGGAGAAACAAAGGGATTCGTCTACAGTCCAATGCAAGCTCCCACCACCATACCGCCAACCGAAGTTCAGTTGAGGGAACTCCCAAAAACACAAGGGGGGGGGGAGAGTGTTGTTTTAATATGAATATGAAAAAGGAACTGAAGGATAGACCTTAAAGTTAGGGATTGCAAATTCAGCCTTTCAAATTACTCTATGCGTGCACACAAAACGCCATATTAGGAAAAGGACATGTCTGCTTGTTTTCCTCTAGTGGCTACACGCCAGGTCTAGAAGAGCCTTAACAGTGGGTTTTTAAAATTTATATATTTTTGGTGAGGGTCTAACAGTGCAATCCTAAATAAACAGTTTCCCTGGAGTAAGCCCCATTGAAGGGTTCAAAAAAGACCTGATTAGGATTGGTCTCTTAGTAACTGAATATAAAAATAATCTGGGCTCCATTGTTATTTGTTATTAATTACTACAGAGATATTTCTGAACCTTTTTAATTAAAAGGCAGCAAGACCACTTATTTTCCTTTTCCTTGCATTTTAATTGTAAAAAGCAACAATGGAGAGGGCAAAATCCAGTTCAAGCAATAGCTAAAAGGTATTCCCAGCAGTCGAAAGCAGCTTTAATTTTTTCAGAACCCTTTGATGCAGCCATTTCAAAGACCATTAGAATGCTGCCACCCACTGTCTGTTTAAATTACTGCACCGAAGTACAGAATTGCCTCATCGGCTACAAGACTAGTTCCTGTGCAACATATAAAAATACTTCCAGGTTTATTAGCTTCTAACCCTTCAAATGCCAAACGTTTCCTACACATAGGAATACAAAGTAAGGAACTGGCAGATTGTATATCTAAAATACAGCCATTAACAACAGCATTCATTTTATATTTTTCTTTTGAAATGGCAAAATTGCTGAAGGACGGCTTCAAGGGGAAAAATCTGCTTAAATTTAATAATGTAAGAACAGCTTTTATTTTCCCACTAAAGGATTCTAGCCATTTGGTGATCTTTGCCCACTTAAGGGACGGGCCTCCTGAAAGACTATATTCCAGACCAGCTGTAGAATCACAGCCGTAATACAGAAAGCATAAAATAAATGTGAAGCACCAAGACAAAATGGAGGAACTTGGAAACACTGATGCCCAAAACGTAAGCCACACAAATGAGGACCGAAAGAAAACGTCGTCCATTACTGAGTATTTCACTTTTCCTGACCTTAGTTTTGGAGTATGAAAAATAGATCCACTGCACCTGTGTTTTGTACAAATGTTCACTTATCCCTTCCCTCTTTAATACGTGGACCTGCACCATATTGATGTCAACTGAATTTGCTTGCAAATGTGTGCTTATGACACCACATCTTTAAGCACCAAATCCTAAGAATTCTCTCGTCGTTCTGAAGAATCCACAACAGCACATAGTTGCAAAACATAGTGTTCTGCCGCCGTTACAAAAACATCACAACAGGATCTCAAACAACTCCACAGGAGTAAAGTGTTTACAACTGAGTCTCAACATTTCACAGGGCCATACCTGTAACAAGGTGACAATGAACAATGCCCAGCATGATAAATACAACCGACTAAGGACCCAGCAGAGATATTCTCTCATCTTAGTGATTAGTCAATAAGACCGACAGATACACACGATCAATTATTTGAGTTACGTAATCACTAAAGACACTGATTTTAAAGAGAACTTGACTGTTTAGGTAATGGCCACTCATGAAAGCTGCACAAGTTTCCCCTTGAAACTGACCAGAAGAACACGTTGAATTAACCCCCCCCCCCAAAGCACTTAATTCTCCCCTTCCTCTATGTAACATCTAGCCTGATTTAATCATACCCTGATGATACAACAGCTCTCTACCCAGCTCCTCCAATCAGGCAATGAAATGGGGCTCGAAGAGAGAAGTACACAATGCTGTTCCACCATGACACAGGTCAAGGCTGTTTTATCACCGAGGCAGCAAACGGTTGTTTGTGCTGCAGCACCTCACACTGCAAAGGCTAGGGGAGCAGGTTTCATCTAAATGAAACGCAGAATAAACAGACAAATCCCAGAACACAGAAAGCTAGCAATTCCGGGAGAAGGAGCCATCACAACCCTTTTTCTTGAGCATCTAGTGTTTTGTGTGCTGGGAATGATATATGCAAGTACATAAGGATACTCAGTCATTTAAGTCCCCTCTTTCAGCACGAAGGAGTGCAGAACAGACATAAATTTACCCCGTCAGTGAGAACTAGAGGAACAGGCAGAAATTAAACGTGTTGCTGTCACTTTCAGCCACAGCCGCCCCTCCTTTAATGTTAACTCCCACCAAAGCAAAGCCGTAAAAGGGACACGAAACTTGCAAATGCTCGCATTGCAGCATGCTAAGGAACCTCTCACATTTCTAAACCCATCTGCAACTCTAGGGAGAAACGGTAAGAACAGAAATGACAAATCTTAGCACCCTGTGAAAACCACGGTTACTTTCCTCACCAGTCAATGGCCTCTCAGTTGCTACAGCCTTACTGAGCTCACAAAACAGGAGATAACAGTTTTGTACCATGCAGCACACTGAACACACTGTGACATCTGCAGACCACAGAGGATTCTCTCCTTTTTGAAGAATCAGAAACAGCCGCGCTCGACTTGATCCTTCTTGAATAACCACAGATTAAATTAAATTAAACAAAATGGAAACTTACTGTTTGCAATGTCCCCTTGAAGCTGAAAAATTTGTGGAACGGGAATTGTAAGAATAACAGTATCAAACTGGTCCAAGAAACCTGTATTGTTGCTGACTTCCCACTTCCCATCCTTGAGGCAGATTTGTGTAACATGGTGCTCAAAGAGGATCTCAGCATCTGCTTTGAACAAGAGAGGCCATTAAATAAACCAAACCAACTACTCAAATAGCTATAAGTTGAGTAACAGACCTTTTGGTTACAAAACAAGGAAAGTCTCTTTTCATAGATATGCTGCTTGGACATTTACTCTCATGTGCTCTTTGTCAACCTGGAGAAATCTCTTACCCTTAGCCTGTTGCTATAAACATGTTATATGGCAGCATCCACAGTGAAACTAATGGATCTTACTTTCACCTTTTTTCAGGTATTGAATGGAACTATTTCTAGACTGCACTGGTTCTTGACCCTGCCTTCTGTCCTAACGAACTTGTTCTTTCCCGTCTCTGCAACAAGAAGCACAGGGCAAGAAATTCAATCTGCCAGTGATCTTTTCACCTTGACCCTGCTTGCTGGTCTGTCTGCTCAGCTCTGCATGGCCATCTTTGACAAGAGATTCGTCCTTTTTGCAGTAACATGAACCCTGGATACAGAGGGAGTTCTGAGACCAAAAGTGTAAGTAGTTAATCCACTCATATCAGTGCCCTGGGTAGGACAGGTATGTCAATTACAAAAAGTCAATCTATAGTGAAGAAAAGGTATGAAGACAATCCAGAGCTATCTCGCTACCTGAGTGATGCAAGGTTGACAGTCTCTTCATCTTGACCTCATAGCTGGTTAATTGCAAATCAGCGGTAAGAAAAACTGCCCTCCTCCATGATTTGAGGTTGGAAGATGAAGTCAACCTGGCACGTTGACTGCCTGACTCATTACGGCCCATTTTGGATGAGTCAGGCAATCTGGTCTTGGCTCACCAACCTCAGGACAGAGCCTGGGGAAGCAAAGAGCTATAATCTACCATGAAAACTGCTGGAAGGTTTTTTTTAAAAAAATTTCAACTGAGGGCCGCCATGGTCTCTTGTCCACAGAGGGTTAAAAAGGGAACCAGATACTAGCACCACCTTATCTATTAAAGCCTGCATTTTACATAGGATGCAGACAAGAAGCCTTAAGAGATAATGGCCTAAAACATTTTTCTTCTCTCACCCCACTCCCTTTTTAAAACATCTAGCCTGATAAGAGAGTCTGGAGAAGTTGGAAGCTTCCACACTGCTCTGTGTGTGTGTTTGTTTTCCTGGTTGGTCTTTATAAAAGGTATAGCATGGCTTTTGTTTCTGGACTTTCCTGAAGAATATATCCAGTACAACCAATTTGGATACCGGTGGTGGGTACCAGGATCAGAATAAGGAATTAGTTATTGCACCACCAACCCAATTGTGCAATGGATTTTTTTTTTTTTAATTGGGCCAGTCTCAGATCTGGTGTTGGAGACTCCTGGGCTGCTGTAACTTGGAGAAGGTCAATATCCAGACTGACTGAGGCCTCCTTTGTGGAAGATTATGTGGACTCTGCAGCAACTGTGAATCTGATGATGATCAGAATGGGTCCTACAGGAATTTGCAAGACATGGTTTGAATTTACTGTTTTGAACTGGCAATCCAGAAGCTGCATGTCTTGAAATTAGACTGTCGTACTAGACAGGTCCTTATCAAATTAAGACATAGGAGGAAGAATGCACTACTCTCAGAGATTTATGGACTTGCACATTTTGAGTGCTCTGAAGGGTACTGCAAGCCATAGCAGGATAGTAGCTCTGTTGAGTTCCTTGCTTAATAGTGGGATGGATAAGTGATGAGGGCAATGAAAGGGTTGCACCCTGATGCATTCATTGTTAGTTTGGTAGAGCCTTAGCCTCCTCCTAGGATACAGAGGAACTGTAGACCATAAAGTAGGAAGACAGACAACTGTAGCTCCAACCACTGAAGACTCATGCTGAATGTGACTGAACACAATACAAAGGCTATTTAAATTAGACTGCTGTAATGCACTCTGCATAGGGCTGCCCTTGAGAAGTGTTTGGAAACTTCAGTTGAAGCCCTATATGGCCACCTGGACGTTCACTGGAGTGATTTGTAGGGACCCTATCTCCCCAGTCTTTCTTCATCGACACTGACTCCCCAATATGATTCTGGGTCCAATTCAAGGTGCTGGTATCGACCTTTAAAGCCCTATATGGTTTGTGACCAAAATACCTGAAGGACTACCTCATGAAAGTACCCAACCAAGACAGTAATCTTTTGAGGCCCTACTTTAGGGGCACTGCCTTTGGATATTAGATGGGTGCCAACCGAAGAGAGTCACAGACCAAAATACTGGAACTTCTCCCCAAGAGACTTGCTTCCAGGGCCGTAGCTAAACCCTTCCTTGTGGGAGGCCCCTGGGGAAAGTGGGGAGGCTGGAGTGTGTGCGTGCGCGTGCGTGCTTTGCACACACATTACCCAGAAGTGACGGGGGCGCGGGGCGGGAGGAAGAAGAAGGGGGAAAAGCTTCTGCTTCTCCCCTTCTGTATTTTGCCTGTCTTTAGTTGAGGGGTTGGAGGCTGCTGGGACACCGGGGTTTTTTGTGTTTTTTTCTTGGTGATGGTTACTGTAGAGAAGCCGCCGCCGAGCCGCTCCCGGAGAAGCCGGACGCCCCAGCAGCCTGCGATGGGCAGGGGAGCAGAGGATCAGGACGGAGGGGCCCCGCAAAACCAGCGGGAAGGCCGGGCCCCGTGGGCCCCACGCAGGCTACGGGCCTGCTTGCTTCTGTTGGTTTTTAATAGTTTTAAAATGCGATTTTATTATGTAAGTTTTGTTAGCTACCCTGGTGTCCCTTGTGAGGACAGAAAGGCAGGATGCAAATTTTGTAAAATAAAATAAAAATTTTAGGCCTATGAAGCAGCAGTGGCAGCAGCCAGGAATTTTTTCTCTCTGCCCCCAGTATATCGGCCGAATTGTGTCTAGCAGAGCTGTTCATAATGGTGCATGAGCTAACATGCCCTGACTGACTTACCAGATTCCAGGTTATCTAGTGCCCACTGTGATGATTTTTCTTGGTTCTTTCTTACCAAAATCATTCAAATCCCTAAGACCTGGATGTTACTATTCTGGCATATCAGATACCACTTCTTGCCATTGGCTGGCTGACTTCCAAGGGAGTGGACAGGGTGGTGGCAAGCTCTGAAGGCCATCATGTGCATCTTAGATCCATTCCCCTCTCGACTGGTTAAAGCAATACTGGATGTACTTAAGGTAATGCTGCCCAGTGTCTCACTGAAAGAAGGCAATGCTTACATTGGCTGCTATTTATCTTCAAGGATTGATGCAAAGTGATGGTTTTAATCTTCAAAACTTTAATAACCTAGAACATGCTTTTTCCCCTGCCCCCCCATAGATACCAATTAAGATCTGCATCAAGTGACCTCTATTCTATCTAGCCTATCTTTGAGCTCACTTAAATGCGAAAAAGAGTTCACTGTTCTTAGTGAAGGAGCTGAGGTTTTCAGTGGTAGCTCCAGGATCCTGCAATGTCCCCTCCAAGGCATCCTTAATGGCTTTTTAAAATGAACTGCAAGGCTTACCTATGTCTTTGGGCATTTGTGGTCAACTAACCTGGAAACTTGTGCTGCTGCTCTATGTGTTTTACTTATTCTCACTTTTGTTTTGAGTGTTGTGATATTAATCACGATTGTAAGCCACTCCAAGTATACAAGGTAATTTTTTAAAAATTACAAAATTAAGGAGGCACAGTACCATAATCATCGGTGGTGCAAGGGTAAGGCATCCTAGAGAACAGACAAGGCATCTTCGCTGAATTTTAAGCCATCATACGCCCAGTCTCTCTCTCTCTCTCTCTCTCACACACACACAGTTTTCATGAGGAATGGTTTTGTTGACCTTCCTCTTCTGCCCCACCATCTTGGTGACTGAAACTAGATCTTCTGTGCCAGTCGTATGAAAGCCAGTAAGTGATTTCTGCAACACAATCTCTGTGAGCCAGAACAGGAGGAGGAAGACTGGGCATAATTCTACGTAAGCATGGTTACCAGAAATGATGGCAGTCTCAGAGAGAAACAAGCCTCCCCTTTTATCAAACCCTCAGTGGTTAATGAGGACCACAATAATCAGTAATGGTTGCTGGCTGGGTGAACTTGGGCCCAGTCACTTTCTCCCAACCTAAGTTACCTCACAGGGTTCTTGTGAAGATAAAATGGAGGAGAAAAGAATGATGTAAGCCGCTCTGAGCTCCTCTGAGGAAGAGAGGGATAAAAATGTATTAAATAAAATAAAAAAATCATCAGAGGTACTGATGTAGCTCTGAAGCCTTAGAAAGAGCTGAAGCCCATATTAGCATTTCTCATTAAGAGATTCCTAGTTCCTAGTGATCTCATTTGGACTATGTAATTTCCTATGGCAAATCCCATCTTAGTAAGGTAATTAACAGTGCTATCCTAAACAGAGTTACACCCTTCTAAGTCCATTGAAGTTAACGGACTTAGAGGGGTACAACTCTCCTTAAGATGGCAGTGTAAGACGGCATCCAATCCCCTTCTTCCCCACCCAGACACGTCCCCCTCTGTTGCTACATCACACTTCCCCTGGATTACCCTTTTGAATTATCGGACAATGAGATATTTGAAGAGGGCACTTGGTGAAGCTTGGAACTTACCGTTGTTTTGTGGAACTGCTCAACATCTTGTATTTTGTGCCCGGTCCCAAATGGAAACCATTTTGTCATTGGCCCCATCAACCACTGCATCTATTTGGTGCCGGTGCCCATGGCCCTTCTTCAAACCCCCCAAAATGTCCACAGACTCAACAAGACTGAGAAGGGGGAAACCCTGATGTAAAGACTGGGGAAGAGAGCACTTTCTGTCATCTTCCACTAAATGCTTTTATCACTTACCACAGCTGCCGAGATGAGCCAGGAGTTGCAGACTCTCTGTATGAGTGAAGAAAAGCCTTGTCCCCAAGGAACAAAAGTGTCTGGTGCAGCCTGGCTCTAGTCACTAGGTAGCACACTAGGTAGCACACTTTGAAGGCAGGAACTATGTTTAATATGGCCACTGTGGAACCTTTATATGGCAGCATGCGTCCTGGAGCAATGGTAGAGCTTACTGCACAGCCACTAGGAAAACTAGAACTGGACAGTGCTAGACTGGAAATGGCAAGTAGGTAAAGTGACTGACACAATGTAGCAATGCAAACCAGAGAAGGGGATTTCCAGAATGAGCACGGGCTGAGGCAGTTGCCATCTTGCAGGCAAGTCAAGTAGTAGCTCTGACTGCTGGGGTGACACACGACTGCCTACCCTTCCTCAGTGGCAGAGGTTCTTGGGAATTTCCTAGACTTCAGAGACAAGGATCAGAGGGAACTGGCAAAAGTAAGGGCCAAGGTGTGAATCAACACCCCCATACTCCATAGCAAGCTAAAAGAGAGTATGGCAGTAGAAATTAAGAAAAGGTTTGGCCTGTGATGAGGTGAGCAAAACTCCCAAAGAGGGGCAAGGCTTGATTGCCTTCAACACTAGCCTAGAGCTGAGTCCACTGAGGCCCCAAGGCCTGAGAGAAACATGACACTTTAAAGAACAGCAGTTGGAGCAAGACAACTGTGTAGAGGACATGGACCAGAAATCAGCATGTGGGGAAAGGGGAGGGTTGATGCTTGCCCCCAGAGCATGCCTCTCCCATCAAATTACCCCCATGCTCCTTTCCCATCAAATTACCCCCATGCTCCATTTGGTAGCACTAGGAGAAAAAAAGGCAGGTATCCCAGTGGTCCCCATCATCTTCTTTACCAAGAGATGGGGGGAGCCATTTTTGAACTGGTGGATGGCATGGGGCAAGGAGTCAACTTTTGTTCCTCAGTACTGTAGCCCCAATCCATATCCTCTTCTCTCCCAGTTACATTTTAGGGCCAAAATGTCTAGAAGTTCCACTTATGGAACTCCAAGTTCAACCTACGTTTAATCAGTGAGACACGTGACTACGTAAATGTATTTTAGAATCGCCACCTCCAAATGTTTGTCTGAAGCACTACATATTTTCAAGGGATAATTGCGATAAAAATCAGAGCCAATAGAACCCCTCCTTCACATTTATCCTGGATATTACCTGACTCATTTAAATAATGCTTGACAATGGAGGAAATTCCCTGGGGTGTTACAAAATTCTCCACTCCTTCCTTTATTGCCATTCCTTCTATTGTAGCTGTCAATGGCTTCAGCACTCCATGATTCAACAGCTCTTCATAAAAGCTAAAAGCAAAATATAAACAGAAAGTTAATATGCTTAACTAGTCAGCTGGACATGGCTATTCCCAGAACCAAACTCTGATATTTTCTTTCAAGTATCTAACTTTGTGCCCCCTCCTAACACCTCCCCAGGCTCCTTGGTACCTTGAAGGCCGACACAGTGTCAGAGAGGAGGCCAAGGAGTGTCACACTAAATGTCTGTCAAAGGCAGTGGACAGTTAAGAAGTCGGCAAGATTAGGCGAACTGCTGCTGGAAACAGAATCCTAGATGGACTAATCTCAGCTGAGCTTGCAAGTAAACTCTAACGGTAACTGAGATGTCATTTGTATCTAAAAACCCTTACACTTAAAAGCATACATTTATATCTGGCAAAGCTCTAAGTGAGTCCCTTGTACATATCAGGACAGTCCAGCACAATCACTCACTCATTCCAACACACAACATGGCTCCTCAAACTGGAAAACACAACACTGGGTACGGGTAAGTAAGAATAAACTGAACAAGAGTGAGCAAGGCATGCTGAAATTATTTGTTCCAATAAACTATAGTTAGAAAACTTACAGTGTGCCTTTTAAAACAATTCGGCGTATTTTGTGCAGAAAGGGTTTTTTCCTTCCTCTTAGAAGTCACTTTAGCATTTTTTAAAAAAAACAGCAACACGCATTTCATTCATTGGTAGTGAGGAAATATTAAAGGGTATCAACGACCATTTGTTACAACAGTAGCATCAGCTGTTGACACACCCCAGACAGTGAACCCCGTTCATTCCTCCTCACCTTTGATGTTTTTTGGCATATTCGGGTTCCCGCGTGATATACTGAGCTCCTAGATCTGCCGTGCACCTCGGATCGTGAGCGCTCCGGCTCGTAGACATTCTTCCCCCTTAAAATCACGTGCATAGAGACAGAAATTTTTTTAAACACCGCCGCTCGTGTCCAATCAGCTTCCTCCGAGGGGCAAACTTGATCCCGGGCGCCGTGGTAACTGGCAAGAGACGGGGACGCGATTGGAGCAAACGGCCGGGCTTTGCCGCCTCGCTTTTAAAGCAACCAACCCGGCGGAAGGACTGCTTCTCCGCTCTCCCAGCCTGAAGCCAATCTCCTTTGGAGGGGGATTGTTGCCGCGCAAACGTCTTGGCTGCAGAGCCCAAGCTTGTGCACATTTGCTGGGGAGTAAGAGTCGCTCCTTTCTATGCGACCTTACTCTGAAGTAATGCTATTTCCCCTGAACATGAGGGGAAGAGGGAATCGTAAACACGCCGGCACCTTAAAAGGCTAGCATTTCCCAACGTTAAGCTTCCGCAGCCTAGTGTGGGTTGGGAAATACCTGGAGAGTGGAGCCCGGGGCACGATCTCAGTGGGGCATGATGTCATAGGAGCCAACCCTCCAGAGCAGCCATTTGATCCAGGGGGAAGTGGTCTCTGTCGTCTGGACATCAGTCCTAATTCTAGGAGATCTCCAGGTCCCACCTGGAGGTTGGCAACCTTACAGGCCGCAGGGCAGTGGCGCTTCACTCACGTCCTAGCGAGGACCTGCTCTGAAAGCTTGCGCTGGAGTCAAACCTTAAAACTCCAAAGTGCCACAAGCCTCCCGTTTCCTCCCCCCCCCCCCCCGCCCCCACTACTAGGCTAACCCCCCCCCCGCGTTAAGAAGGCAACAAAATTTAATCTCTCGCTGAGATCATGAGATCAATTCACGCCGGACGTGGCAGCTTCTACGGGACAGCTGTCAGTATTTGCAGCGCGTGCGGGACTTCGGGGACTTCGGGCAGAGCGGGCGCAACACGTCAGCCGCCCCAGATCCCGGCCGAAGCCTTGTCACCCGGTGGGCTTTGCAGAGAAGCGGACGGGAGAGACCCACCTGCGCCCCGCGCCTTCTCCCACACCACGATTTGCAGTGGGCGCTGCGGAAGCGCCCTGCGCAAAAGTGCAGCGCACAAACTGCCCGTCAGGCCGGCGCCTACGATCAACACCCGCTCCATAGCCGGACCGGCAGAGAGGAGGACGGACGGGCGCGGCGCGGAGGAGTCTGTCCCCTCCTTTCTTCCTGCCTCAGCCCCGACAGAGCCGCCTTGCCCTTATCCGCCGTTAGAGGGAGAGAGGTGCAGCCTGACGGCAGCTGTCCATACATGTATGTGCGTGTGCGCTTTGGCGATTTGCGAGCACGGTGGTGTACCGCTGAGTGAGGGGATGTACTAAAAGGAAGGACAGGATTGCCCATTGGAAACAATGGGAGACGCTGGAAGACCCATTGGAAATAATGGGAGCCAGGATACTAGTTTCCGGAAACCGTGGGGCAAGGGCAGGTGTCAGATCACATTTCCGGTGTTAGCTCGTGGCATCCGGCGCCCGCCCATGTCCCGTCGCGAAAAGTGTTTTTTTGGTCAAGTCTCCACGGGTGCGCACAAGCACCCAACAGCACATGCAAACACTTGGGTTTAAAAAAACAACACAACCCCCGCGGCGGCACTTCTTTGCCACACCGCAGGAGTAAGGTATGATCGGCACCTCCCTCCAACCACAGGACGTCGGCGGGACGTTTGATCCGGCTGCCGCGCGGTAGTTCGCTCCGGGGCAAACATCCATGCCTCCCCCCCACGATATCCGGCCCGTGTGACTGGGGCCATAGAGAACCAAAGGGCACTGTTGGAATTTAAAGGCATATACAGTGTTAGAAGATGAGCAAGTGAATAAGCCTGACATGGTGTAGTTGATGTTGTTAGGTCCAGTGATTGTGCTGTCTGGGTGTATGCAGCAACAAAGTTGGCATCTGGGTTTATTGTAAGCTCTGATTCCAATATCTACGTTCAAACTGTGATAGCAACAAACCAAATGAATGCATTTTACTACCATCATTGTATACACACATAAAGTATACACACAAAAAAAATCCAAGGGTCAAACGAGAAGGAAGTGGGTCCTTGTTCAGATGTATATGAAGAGGAAAGCTTCAAACTGATATGCGTAGGCATTTCCTAATCCATACCACTTCTGGTGGTGTTTATATGAGCCACCAAGCAAAGAATGTCTTTTACCTCCCCATAGGAACAGAAGAAAAATAATGGAAAGACTGTAAATTAACATGAAACTAAATGCATGGCCAGAGCTGTTTTTAAAAAGGCAGGGACAGCATGGTAGATAAAGGGGGCAAAGCCTACTCCAAGCAGGGTTGCCAACACTGGGTTGGGAGATTCCTAGCAATTTGGGGGTGGAGCAGCCCTGCAGCTAACAACTTTTTGCCCGGGGGGGGGCAATGTTATTCTCAGGGGGCTGTCATTCCAGTCCTAGAGCAGTGTATTTGGGACCAGAGACCTTAATGGAAAATCCATTCCTCATTTTCTTTCCAACTCTCCTTGAGCTGTAATGTATTTCAATGGAGCCCATGCAAGTCGATTGACATTTCTGGCTCCCATTATTTCCAATGGGCCTTCAAGTCTCTCCCATTGTTTCCAATGGGCAATCCTGTCCTTCCTCTTAGTACATCCCTGAGCGGGGTCGTGAAGCCGAATAGCTCCGTCCCACGCAGCTCTCCCTCTTCCCCTCTTCTGTTCTAAAAGGGGCTCCATCCTGCCTTAAAACCACACCTTCTCTTTGGAAAGAGCCTGGCTTATCCTTGAGGGGTGAGGGGCCTGGCAGCCGTTCTCTAGTGACGAAGTCGTTTTGCCGCACCCCCCCCCAGCCACCCAATTCTTTGCCACTGTGCTTGCAACAGCAGACCATCTCAAAGCGAGCGAGCGAGCTTTTGGAGTTTGGGAGGTAAAAATGGATTCCCTTGTGTTCTGCAAATTGGGTGGCTGCTGAAGGTCTGACAGGAGGCCAGAGGGAGGAAACGGGACATGACTAGTCATGCTCCCTGCATATGTTTTAGATCTTGGCTGTGGACAGACTGGCAGGTTGGTGTGGCATGGGCGCACCTCTAATTACTCCGTCGCATTTTGTGATGGGGATTTTCAGTCAGACTCCCACCCTGATCTGACTGTACCGTGCGCTTCCATGGTTGTCAGATTAGTGCTGCACATCAACCATGGAACATGCAGTCTGGTCTTTTAAAAAAAACCCAACAACCCATTTCTGGGATGTGCATGGGCCCTGCCATTTTAAAAAACAGAACAGTACAACCGGAACTAAAATTTCACACTTCCAAAATGGGTTGAACAGGCACCGAGGGAGTTCAGACATCCGGAAACGTGGGATGAATGTGCGGGGATTTGTTAGCACCGGAATTCAACTACTGTCTATTTATTCCATCTCCAACTCATCTTAGGATGGGGTAAGTACGACTGGGGAACGCCTGCCAGATGTGGCTGTGTGAACCAGCAGGTTTTATCCGTTAGGGAAAAGCAACTATATCTGGCCAAACTGCCCCTCTGACTACAGCCCTTAGATTGTATTACATTATCAAAAGTTCTGGCCAACTTTAAAAGGCTAGAGTTTATGTTGTAGTACTTTTCCCATTAAGGTCAACCAACTAAACAAGTGCTTTCTTAGCTGATAATCTTTTAAACTAATAAATCGTATGTGTGTGCACTAAACTATGCACTGCCCTTGAAGGAACAGTTCTGTAGTCTGGGGATCCTCTTTGACCTGGTTCTACTGCTGGATAAGGAGGAGGGAGCTGTGGCTAGGAGTGCCTTTTACCAGCCTGGACTGGTTACCCAACTGTGGCCTTTCATGGATAGAACAGATCTGACCACTGTGGCACCTTCTCCATCGTGGTGCTAAAACTTTGGAACTCCCTCCCCAAGGAGGTTCATCTTTCTCCCCTCTATGGTCTTCCACCAGTGGGTGAAGACTTTTTTGTTTTGTTTTGTTTTGTTTGGCATTACTGTACTAACTATTACTGGACTTCTTCCCTAGTTGTGTGTTTTTATGTTTTATAGAATTGTGTAAATATTTTGTATACACATTTCTAAATGCTGTTTCAAAGTTTGGATGTTTCAATGATGTGTGGAAAGTCGGTGTAGAAATGTTTTGAACACATAAACACCTTCCAAAAGGGGGGGGATGCCCTGAGAAATAAAAGTGGTTTAAGAGCAGGGTGATATCTGAAAATACTTAAAAAAAGGTTACTCTGCATGGAAATTTGCATTTTCTTTCAGAACTATGTGGGAACTACATGATGAAAAAGGTACGGAATACAGAAGATACAGTTTTCTTGGGAAAAAGTAAGTGATTTTGAACAAAATGTACCCAGTGACCAGAGCAAACACTTTATGGTTTCACTTAACTCTTGTTCAGTGATTCAAATGTTAACTTATAAACTTTTATTTCGATGGTACCTGACCCCGCATCAGCTGCATGGCATTAACCCCGCGATCTCGGACAGATGTTGGAAAAATTGTGGGGGCCGTGGCACCTATATTCATTGCTGGTGGGAGTGTCCCAAGGTCCAGGCCTTCTGGAGAGAAGTCAATGCCCAAATACTTTTAATTACAGATTGCGCCCTCCAACTACAACCCTCCTTGTTCCTTTTGAATCATTGGAGCCATCCTGCCCCCAATGGGCTTATGAAAGAGTTGATAGAATTGTGTCTTGTGACCGCTAGGAATGTTATTGCATTTCATTGGAAATCCAAGAAGACGCTGCTACTGAGTGACTGGTTCCTGAAACTGTGGGACTTCTTTTTACAGGACAAAGTTTCCACTAGCATCCTACGATCCGAAAATCAACCCGTTCCTGACAATCTTCAAGAAAAATGGATGCCCCTCTTGGAAGCCTCAGCAGCACATAAAATCGACACCTCCCTGTTTGCCCTGCATAAACACCAGGACTTGCTTTCATATTTTTAACTGTTTTTTTTATATTTAATAAAAAAAAAACAACTCTTGTTCAGTGACATGATATACATAATAAAGTTTATACTACTGTTTTAAGAGTAGCCAGTAGAGGGGAGTATTGGTCTTCAGAGAACCTTCTAGCACCTCAAGCAAAACAGTAGTACTTTAAGCAACACTTTAGCATGCAAGTGAGAGAAGCTAAACCATGACATATTCTGTGCCTTACGCTGTGTCAGGCACTGTGCTGCATGGCAGGTCAGGTGGAATGGAAGTAAACATTTGAAAGCTTTTAACTTGTAATTAACAAAATGAAAATGTTGGAGCCCACTCAGTTTTGGAAATATTACTATAAAGACTTTGAATTCTCATCCAGTGAGCAAATGCAGGCAGGAATGGGTTAACTGCTAAACTTCCTTGTTAGAAGGCTGGTCTTAAAATCTGATCTCAAGAAGAGGTTGGCTCCTCACCAATTACTTCTGGCTTTTAGCATGAAAGTAGAGCTTTTGCAGTCTCCTAGATGGCACTATTTACCTTTTGTTATTTTTTCTTTTACTACTCCACTGTTCCTTAACACTCATATATTGATTATAGGCTTCAGCCTTGATAACTTAACTCTTACTATTTATGCCACAGATCTTGTCCTTGGTCTTCTCTGCCATAGTCTGTAGGCATAACCATAGATGAAAACTCTACTCTGATGACGAAAATTTTACTCTGGATCCAAACACAGCTAGGCTTCTTTTTCCAGTGGGGCAAAATAAATAAATGTTTATAGTTTAGCCCCTAAAGAATGCCAAAAATTGTAATGTTATTTTATTTATTTATTTCTATCTCACCCTCCCTATTAGTGGGTTCAGGGTGGATAACAACAAAGAAGTACAAAACCATTAAAATCAATTATAACAGAACGATAAATTATTTAAAACAATAAAAGAGGCAAACCAATACATTTATTCCTATAGTTCCAGCAATGCTTACTGGATGACGGAACAAAGATGGAATGTGAAATGTACTCGGAGCGTTGAGTAATTCAGCCAGAGTACTTTATTGATCAAGAACAAGACAAGAGAAGCCGGCACACAGGTCGGTATATATCCACAGAAACCCACCACCCTAAACACACCCTTAGTGACCCTATAGGTTATTTACAGTAGCCGGGAGTCTCATAGGCTCCCGGCTGTGGACCTGGCCCTGTGATTGGTGCGGGCTAGGATCCACAGGTCTATTGTTCTTGCCGGACGAAGCTTTGGGGTAGCGCTTGGCCGCGGGGCTCAAACAGCCGCGCACGTGGTAATGGCGGCAGTACATTACAGTTGTCAGTTACGCCCTTTTCTTGCATAAGACCCAGGACAGCTTCCCCATTGGGGGTCCCACCATGGATCTGGATTAAGACTGGAGAGACCCATGTTCAAATCCCTGCTTAAATTTTAGCCATAAAACTCACTGGGTGACCTTGCAGTACTCACTCCCTCTCAGCCAGTAATGCTTCACAGGGTTGTTGCAGAAATAAACTGAGGGGAGAGTCAGCCATGTGGGCTGCCCTGAGCTCCTTGAATGAAGGTCAGGAGCAAAATGTTGTAGGTAGAAAGACTGACCAAACATAAGATGGCGTGAGATGGAGCAGAGAAGATAAAATTGCGGAGAATTCCAGACTAGTATGAAACACCTTTGATTTCAAAATAAATTATATTTTTAAATTTATAGAGACATATTTGTTGGGCATATGTCTCCTTTGACACATACAGAGAATCTTTTAAAAAATGCTTACTGTTATATCAAGAGAAACTTTCTTTTATATATATATTTTATTTTCAGGTTTTCAATACACAAATACACAAATTCATATTAAACACTCGGTGGGGTTACATTAAACATTTTTCCAATCCATTTGTTAACTGTTTTCCATTTTTGCTTAAAAGTGTTTTCTACTTTTCCTGCTAACAACATATTCAGCTTTTCCATACAGCAGTTTCATTCTCTAATTTGCCTTTCACTTTCTCTTTAGGTGTTTCCTTCTTTAAATTTTTCAGCCTCCCGTTCTATCTCCGGTTCCAGTCCCGACAAGAGAGGACGCGCAGGGAGCTCTCTGACGGTCCAACTCACTCCCACACCACTAAATAACTTTTATCACCGAGCAAAAGTCTCACAAGAAGAGAGAGCTTTTGGCAAGGAGCTTGCCTGTTGCTGTGAAACGTGGCGACTTACCCAACAAGGGGTGTGTGTGTGCTCTAAAGCAAGGAGGTGTGAGGAGCAAGAGCGGCGAGAAGTATCATCCGCTCTGCACAAGCCGAGACAAGAAGAGCCTAAGGGGTGTGAGGACATAATCAAGACAAACCGAAGCTAAGTACATTTCTTTTTCTTATATAAAGCTTATCCTTTGTAGTAAATACACAGTGAAAAATAAGAGAAACCGGGTAAAAGTGAGTGAAGACAGAGAAGAGTATTAGCAAAAAAGTGGAAAAGGAATTTTAAAAAGGCCACGCTAGGAACCCACAAAGTGAAGTACAGAGAAAAACTCAAACCTATAGTTAAACAATCAAATAGATTTGGGAAGCATATACTACACAACTCTTTATTTTTTATTTATTACATTGTAGTTGGTGATTCTATTCCTTTAAGAGGGGTGAGGTGACGAGGCAGTCTTCTTTTCCGCCTCGGAGGGAGGCGCGGCGCGACGACGCAGAGATAGAGGGAGATTGGGAAGAGTTGCAGCAGAGCGGGGCAGAGACGGAGCGAGGCGCAGACGTGGGTGATGTGGAGACGTGGAGGCGGAGTGACGCGCTGACGTGGGTGATTGGGAGGAGCTGCAGTGGAGCGGGCAGAGGCGGAGCGAAGCCCTGACGTGGACGTGGGAACGAGGGAGAGCGGAGAGGCGCAGTGAGACAACATGGGAGAGGCGGAGTCATCAGAGAAACTTTCAAGACTACTTAAAAAAAGTTAATAAAAACACTTTATTAATAATAAACTTTCCCATAATAAATAGTGTTTGCTTTCTTTGAAATTTCAATCTATTTGTTTTCTCTTTCACGCCTCTCTCAGGTTTGATATGTTTTTCTAGGTATAATCAAGGTATGATATGTTTGACATATGATCAAGATTTGGTATGTTTTTCTAGGTATAATGAAGGTATATTCTGCCTTAGCTCTTTGTAGCCGCAGTGAAACCTGCCAAAGCTCCAGCTTGCGTATCTTCCTGAGGCAGTGGTCAAGGTATGTGATTACTTTGGCTTGAATATTTGTTTACTCAGAATTAACTACTAGAGTTAGCCTTGGAGAACAGTGGACTGCCTGAACTTTCCTATCTGCTAGAAATGTTCTAGTTGGGTGTCACCTGGCAGCAAGCCATCATTTGGGCAACTTCATCCTGCCTCCAAAACTGCTGGCCTTGTTTGTCCTTGTTTGCCTACATGTGAAGCGTGCCAAGAAGTGCCAAGTCTCTCGCCCCGCCCCTAATATGCCACACAGACATAAAAAAATTGATTTTGCTCTTCCCAATCCATCCTGGTGTACAATGAATGATGGCTGTTGCACAGACAGGCCTTCATCTTACGATGTCTGAAGGTGCTCATCAGTCCTCCCTCTAAGCTGAGTTACTGTTAGCTAGCTCCGGCTCACACATTTTTGTCTTAGCTCAGGAAGGATGGCTCCAGAGCAAACTAATTTATGCAGTAGCCAAATCGCTCGCTCACAACTTTAATGCCAGTAGCTCACAAAGTAGAATTTTTGCTCACAATACTCCACATCTTAGAGGGAGCATTGATGCTCACCAGTTTGCTGTATCTGTATTGAACAATCCACCCTATTCATGACTAGTTATGGCCTTACTAGTCCTGTTTATAACACCGCTTGAGAACAGCATGAAGCCAAAAAAATGTTCTCCTTAAAAAATCAGCCATAAGGACCCCGAAATTACTCCGTGGCCCTGAGGTGACCAGCTAATCCTATGTTGCCTCACAGAATGGTGGCTGGGGGATCTGCAGCATGCAGCAAATGTCTCCATGGAAAAGGCGGAGAGCCCTTAGAAGGCTTTCAAACTGCCCTCTCCATTGGCTGAGCTATCAGCACCCCTACCAGAAGTGTCCTGTGCCCAGAGGTCATTTCGGGGGGGATCGCGGGGAATCGCAGTTCCCCTGGGTGAGGTACGGGGGCGGGGCACATGACAAAGCCCCGCCCCCTGCTTCCGGCCGCCCCACTTCCGGCCCTCATTCAGCCAGGAGGAGGCAGGAGAAGAGGGAGGGTAAGTTGCTTCCTCCCTGCCTCTCCCCACCCCTGCCTGTCTGAGGCCAGGGAGGGCCTTCACGGGGCTTCCTTGCACTCCCGCCGGCCTTGCAGGTCCACCGCCGGGCCCCTAATGGGGCTCAGCAGTGGAGCTGCAAGGCCAGCGGCAGCAGCTGGGACCGTTGGGGGCGGGGGGTGTGGCCTTATGACACACTTCTGGTGATGTCAGGGGGTGTGGCCTTATGACACACTTCCGGTGATGTCAGAGGTGTGGCATATGCTAATGAGTTATGCTAATGAGTTCCCCTAGCTCTTTTTCTATGAAACGACCCCTGCCTGTGCCTCATTCAGTTTTGAAGAGCCTGGGCAGCACCACCCCTGGCTTTAATGGCTGTGAATGTGGTCCATTTGTGCCAGCAAAAATGTTTATAGTTGGACTGTTTTACCCATTTACTAAGCAGGAGGATGGCTTGTTTTATTTCTGTAAGTCAGTTTTTAACTCTTATTTTTCCCAATCAGGTTTAGCTAAACCTCTTGGTAGAATTGGACACCCCATCAAATAAAATCCACAAACAAACGTTCATAGTCCAAGGTCCAAGTCGTCCAAACTCCATTTTACTTAAACTGGAGATATTTGTTGGGTGATAGGAACTGCTTGAAACATTTTGGTGTAAGTGCTTTTTATTGTTTTGGACTTAAAATTGGAATAATAGAATAAACTAATACAAACCTTTCTGAAATGTTTCCGCTCACCTTTGGCCCCCCCAAATTATTTTTTTTCCACTGCTCACTTTTGCAGCCAAGGATGTATGTTCAAAACTTCACAGCAACATCATGTTCTTGATGCATGGATATAATGTAGATAACTTAAATATGGTGAGTAGAATCTTTCCATTTTGTGATTCCATATTTTAAACTCTGTCTGAACTCAAACCCAGTCTTGAACTACTCATTTAGCCTGGGTGGCCAAGATAGTGTTAGTACACTCATGGTCCATTTTTATATTCCAAAATATGCTCTGGGAGCTCTATGTAAATTTCCCCAGTGGGGCACATATTGGCTTTCTTGGTCTGTTTTAGGCTGGGAAAATGGCAAAGAAGAGATTTAAGCTGGATCAGACCCACATATAGTTTGGGAGGCATGGAACTCCCAGAACATGTTTTCTAATATATGAACTAAAAATTGGAAGGTCTTTGTAGGTTTGTCTTGGCTTCCACCAGTGAGAAATCAGTTCCCTCTTTAGATGTTTGATATTGGCGCTCCAATGGGAGTAAGCAGTATTCTCAATCCTGCTCCAGAGTTGCGATTTAGTGTGAATCAGGCAATGGGCATATTTTCTATGTGTGCACAGCTTTGGTATAAGTGAACACATTTCCTTAAAAATGTAGGGTTCATTCATATGTACCAAAGCTGCATACACATGGAAAATACCTTCAGTCTCCCATTCACACAAATTGAAAAATGAGTATAAATGAATATATTGAGAAGATTGTGTGAAGTGTGCTCCCCTTATGCAGTGTCAGAGCACCAAAATGGAATGTATTGAAAGGGCTGTGATCTCCTCCAAATGTCTAACCCTTATAAGAGCTACAGGGAAGAAACCTATACCAAAATAGCCTCTGTACCAGTGCCTTTGTGGCATCATTAATATTCACCCTCTTCTCATGCCTAGCTGCAAAAATATAAGCTCTAGTGTTAATTGGCAGATAGTTTCTTTGCATTCCATGGTGCTAATTGAAAGAGTTACCTAGCAGTTCAAAGCGTGAGGTGCCCCTGAGATCCCCTTATCCCTAAACTTAGACAGGAACTCATTTCGGTATTGCTAACAGCTGCTAAAGTGGTTATAGCCAGTAGCTGGAAGTCCCCTAATAAACTGCTGCTATCCTCATGGCGCTTGAAAATATGGGACTACTATATCATGGATAAAATATCCGATATAATCACCACAGCCAATATTCCTCATAAGAAATCAAATCTTCATTTGAAATGGTTTCCCTTTCTAGAGTTCGTGTTTAATACTGTACCTTCTAAATTCACAGTTCCTTCAAAGTACTATGAAGTTTTTCATCGTATGTAACCAAATAAGTATTTTCTAAGTGTTACTATATAGCTAAAACTTGTTCTGTGGAAGTTATATGTTAAATGTTTTGTATGTTTATTGCTGTTTTATAAAATAAAAAATGTTATTGAAAAAGATATGCCTCTTTGCTCCCACATGTGTTCTACTGCATAGTTGTAAATCAAACAAATATTTTAAAAACTGTCACAGATCTCCTGTATCCAAAATATAGGGGGTGCAGAAGTCTTTCCCGCAGTGCCAGGACAGGATTGGCACAAAAGTTTTGTATTTTTTAAAAAAATCTTTAAATGCTAGTCTCCCTCTCTTCACTTGTGGTAATCACAATGACTGGGGAAGGGCACTGTCTGAAGATACCAGAGTCTCTATTCTTCCCCTTCCTTGTCCACTTCTGGCAGCTGTTCTTGTTCCTGCCTCCTTCCTGCCCTCTCCTTGGCCATAATTGGAGGGGGGGGGGAACAAAAAAGGGTGGGGACTCAATCCAAGATATAACTGCGAACCAAAAGGGCTAAGCCAACACTGTATACTATAAAAGTACAAATGTTTATTAAGGTGTACACATGTTAAAACATATTATGATTAAAAGAAAGAGTCTAAATATCAGACTTATAAAAACTTTTCCAATACGGTAAACCCATCAAATGTATTTGAAGTTTTTATAAGTCTGATATTTAGACTCTTTCTTTTAATCATAATATGTTTTAACATGTGTACACAGTAAACCTTTGTACTTTTATAATATACAGTGTTAGCTTAGCCCTTTTGGTTCGCAGCATAATTGGAGGGAAACAGATTCTCTCTGGGAAGTGTAACTTCACCATTAACAATTAGTTCAGGGTGGCTCTTCCCAAAAATATCAAAGTCCTTCAGGGCTTTAAGTATAAAGAGCTGCATTTTGCATTGTGGCTTCAAACAAATGGGTAGCAAGCAAGCATAGATCCTTCAGGGTGATACTGCCCGTATATCCAGCTGCCAACAACAATGTTTTGAACGAACTGAATCTTCCAGACAGTTTTCAGAGACGGCCCCATGTAAAGCAAGTTATAAGAAACCATCATAAATATGTTTACCAAAAAATGGTAAAATTAATTTTAACTGCCAATCTCTTCCCCACCCAGACTATTTTTAAAGATTGTAGATACTACCTGTAATAACTTTTGCCACTCCTTCCACATGTTTCACCACAGGTTATCCTAAAGTAGTTGTAACCTTGCCTCACTACAAGACAATGGCAGTGTACTTGTACCGTGCAAAGATTTTTCCCCCTGAGGGCTAATATAAATATTGTTGGATGAATGACCAGTTCATTAGAGGAGACTGAGGAATCTCCTGAATGTAGATTTAACAACGTTTACAACATAAGGTGTCCAGAAATCATCTTGTTAGTTTTTAATACACTCAGAATAAGAGGTAGAAATAGACTACCTCTATTAATAGTTTTTAATACACTAAGAGTAGAAACAGACTAACACGGCTACCCATCTTGATCAGAATAGGGGAGAAAACTCTTGGGATCTGAATACTTGTTCACTAAGACTTATGAGTACGCTTGCCAGTCTCCAGGGGGTGGCTGGAGTTACAACTGATCTCCAGGCAACAGAGATAAGTTCCCCTGGAGAAAATGGTGGCTTTGGAAGGTGGACTCTATGGCATCATACCCCACTGAAGTCCCTCCCCTCCTCAAACCACACCCTCCTCATGCTCCCCCCTCAAAATCTCCAGGTATTTCCCAGCCTGGAGCTGGCAACCCTGTTCTGAGTATAAAATTGACTTCAGTTGATCCCTAAAAACAGTTTCCTGGAAGTAAGCCTCATTGAATAGACTTGAGTAGGATTCTCAGTAGACCTGCTTGAGATTATTCTTGTAGTCACATTCAGATGTGTTTTTCTATTATTTCAGAAGCAAGCATGTGTACATTTTATTTGGAGAGACCAACCTTTCATGAAATAAAGGATACAGGCATTAAGAGAAATAATTTCTCCATGTCCCAAAACAGATTAAAACTGTCCCTACAGGTCAGGATATGCAAATACACTGTATCCCACTCAGCAACTAAATCACAGAACTGCTGCTTCCAGTTTTCTGAGCTTCCTGGTTAGCACAGACAGCTTATTTGTACAAGAAGAGTCACAAACAGATAGTGGGGTGCGGGCTCTGAACTCTTTGCCTCTTGAACTCTTCATTTCAAAGACTGGACGCAAGGCTGAACTGAGTAAACATTTCCTGAGTATCTGTTGCAGTACTGGGCAGTCTGAGTGGAATTTTGGTCATATTCTGACAGGACCTCCTGGTTTTGGTAATTACATGGACACCTTGCTTACCTATTGATAAACTGGGAAGATAGCTACTGGGGGATTTGTAATTAACTAATAGTATTGCAGCTGGTTTTGATTAAAATCAGACAGTTGCTGCATCACATGTTTGTTGCTGTATTCTTTGAATAAGAGATTGCACCTGAAAAGAAAGTGAAACACAAATTATTTGTAAAGAACTTTCCTATACCTGTATAATTGCTAGAGGAGAAATTATATGATGAAAGATAAATCTTTGAAGTAAGTAAATGGTGATACCGTGAACACAATTTCTTGTTGCCAGTTAATCCCTTGAATCTTTGTTCTGTCTTGTTACTTCTTTTGGTTAATGATGAAAAGGCACGTTACCGGCATGTGTTGCTTCAAATGCAGAGTGTTTTTCTTGGAACAGGAAAACATTATACCATGGGACAGCTTTTGGGTGGTATCTTATATGGAAGTATGTTGCTAGATTTGTACCTTTGTACATTGACCTCTTTTCTGTGTGCTGCTCTGTGTGTGAAAAAAGCAGCACCTAAACACAGATTTGGGTTGTAACACTATATGATAACTTTCTTCTAGGTCGATTGAAGATGTTGCTGATTTTGTTTGCAATGTGCTGCCTGTATGCCACTATGGATGTTCAAGGAATTCCTCAAGATGGAAAAAATAAGCCAAGAACTTTAATGAATACTGTAAGTAACACAGGGAAGAATAAAAATGCCTTTAAAATTGAAGTCTGCTAATGGAATTTTGTGAAAACTTGTGTTCACCACCATTCAGCATTCTATTACTTTGTTTGTCAGGTAAGGGGGGTCAGAGAGAGAGAGAGAGAGGTGGAGATAACTTTGGGTCATTTTGTTGTTTTTCAGTTTTCTTAATTCTTTAATATTGGAATTAAAGTTAATTGTAGATTGATGTTTCTGGGTGCAATTCCCCTTTCTTCATCTGGATGAAATTCTCAGGGTGCTGAGCCTCTCTCCCAGATTTCTGGCAGAAGGAAGGAAATGTCCCCATGATATAAGCAATTAAAATGCTCCAATGATGGCTCTGGAGAGGCATACGCTGAACTGCAGGATTTAGTAGCATTGCTGTCTCAAGCATAGTAGATACTGCCTTGCCTGTTCCAAGAATTTTGGGAAAGCGCTGGGGTTGAATAAAGGCAAAGAGTTTGTCTATATTTTCCCAGTTACATTCAGAGTATATTTTTCTCTGCAGAAAGAATTGATCCTCTATCATGGATACCCCTGTGAGGAGCACGATGTTGTAACACAAGATGACTATATCCTTAGTATTTTCCGAATTCCATATGGGAGAGAAGAAAATGCAAGCACAAGTATGACCTTGTATTATACAATAATTCAGTCTCTGTATTTTGATGCACTGTAAGCATAACAGCACTGCTTGACCTTATCAGCATGTGTATTGCTTTTCCACTGATATCCTTGCAGACATTCAGTGACACAGAAAGTGCATTTGATGATCACAACAAATGAATCTTGACTATGGCATGAAAATATAGCACATTATTGTTAAGTCACTTCTGCAGACTCTGCACAATTCAACTGAAAGTCAGGCACTGTGGCAAAGCAAGCCCAGTTTGGAGGAAGAAGAGGGTATGAGTCCATTGTACAGTGTTGCCAACTGGCCTGGAAAAAGTTGTCCTGTGCTTTTAGTAGATGCTTAATACAGTGTTATCTATTGGGTTATATTATTTACCCCTGTGCCATCAAAAGATTCAGCTGTCTATTTTTACATGCAGCCTCTTTTAAAGGGGTGACACATTTTTCTCCAGACCAGTTGGCAACCCTAAGCACAAACCTAATATCCAATACAAGTAATTGTGTGTGTGTTAACTTGGCAGTGGCAAAGCAGGTACTGCAGTGGGAGAAAGGGATTGTGTGCCCCACGCATGGTGCCATATATGGGAAGGTTTTAACCTTATCACCGAATTTCTTGGCAAAATACCCAATAGATTATGATAACCTGGATTGGGTGAGAAGAATCTTTTTCTGTTGCACAACCTAATTTCTTGATTTTTCTTTCAGATTCGAAGCCTGCTGTACTCCTGCAACATGGCATGTTTGGAGAAGCTTCTAATTGGATCGCCAGTGGTTCTAGTAATAGCCTAGGCTTTGTCCTAGCAGATAATGGCTGTGATGTTTGGCTAGGAAGCAGCAGGGGGAGCCAGTGGTCTAAAAAACATGTGTCTCTTTCAACTGAAGATGAGAATTTCTGGGCATTCAGGTAGGTCAGGGGTTTCAAACGCATGGCCCGCAGGCCAGATTCGGCCCCTGCACGGCTCAGATCCAGCCCACAAGCAACTTCCTTCTCCTGCTTCCTTTTCTAGGACTGCTGTTGCAGCCATACAGTAGCTTGCTTTTTCCCCAGCTCCCTCACTGGCTCTTGCTTCCTGGCTCTTGCCTCCCCCCCCCCAGGCTCCCTCTGTGGCTGCTTCCTGCTTTGTGCGGGAGGTATACAAAGACAAGACACTCTCTCTCACACGCACACAGATACACACACCTTCTGCTTCCTTCTTTGGGACTGCTTCTCCTCTTTTGAGGAGGAAGGGAGGAGGGAGAGAGAGAGAACAAAGTTGGAGTTCCATGGCACCTTTAAGACCAATAATGTTTTATTCCAGGTATAAGTTCTTGTGTGCAAATACATTTCTTCAGAGAAGGGGAGAGTGGATGGATGGATGGATTCTTCTGACAAGCACAGTTTACATTGAGGAATTATTTTGGCTTATTCTGGAAAGTTTTTTATTTTTAAAGAAAGATTGGATTTCTCTGTTCCTATCTGGATTTTATTTTCTTTCAAAAAGACCCTAATTAGGAATTAGAACACTTGGATTACAGATGCCAAATGATAATAGCCCTCACCTGGAGATTGGCAACGATGGTTGCCCAGAAGGGAATGGTTGGTTTGAAGGGTGGAGTCTATGGCTTTGTACCTGTCCAAGGTCCCACGCCTCCTGAAACCTCACCCTCTCCAGCCACCATCCCTCACATCTCCAGGAATTTCCCACCTGGAGTTGGCAACCCTATCTCCTTCCCAGCCAATCATCAACCTACCTTTATTTCCCCCTCATTCTTCAGCTTTCCACCCCCCACACACCTGCAGCCTCTTCTATACTATGAAGCCCTGACTGCTACGTCATATTGGCTGTCATACGGGGGCCACCTTGGCCACATATAAGGATACAGAGCCCACCATTTTCTCCAGGGGAACTGATATCTGCCATCTGGAAAGCAGTTGTAATTCTGAGTGATCTCCAGCCCTCACTTGGAGATTGGACACATTTTACCTCAGAACAGCAAACTGTTTAGAATGTTAGAGGCAAAAGCCAATCAAGTTGCATATGCAAACAACCTCTGTGTTCTGCCTGGTTATGTGGGGGAGAGGAACAGCAAACTGTTTAGAATGTTGGAGGCGAGACTCAAGCAATGCAGCCAGTGGATAGGGACAGATTCTGAGTGACACACCAGGGCGCCAACCAATTCCAGAGCGTGTGGAATGTTCTAGAGAAGTGCCACCACCATTCGGCTTTTACATATAAGGGAGATAGTTACAAAGTTACAAACCCTTGAGGAGATTTTTTTGTCTGAAGAAGTGTGCTTTGCACATGAAAGCTTACACTTTGAATAAAACTTTGTTGGTCTTAAAGGTGCCACTGGACTCAAACTTTGTTCTGCTGCTTCAGACCAATATGGCTACCCACCTGAATTTAACACAATGCTTTGTAATGCAATGCTTAAACATATTGCCTTGCAGCCAAGTTCTTGGTGGGGGCAAGGAATTCCCTGCCCCCAGCTCCCATTGACTGCTGCCACTGCAAGTAGCAGCGGGAGAAAATAAAAATACCCAGTAGCATTGTATGCCATGCTGCATTTTTTACCAGAAGTGATATAGAGTAGCTTTAGGAACTGAGTGTCTGGTGATTCCTAGAGCTACCCATGGTAACTTCCTATTTTTGATGGAAATAATATCCTTATGTCCGTGACACACACACCCCTCCGGGTACACTGGGTAGCTCTAGGAATTGCCAGAAACTCTATGGCTGTGCTTGGAAGTGAAGTAGTAACATTGGTGATGTCCTTGCCCCAAAACCCTCCCTCTGGTTGCCAGGCAACCCAGCTGCAGGGGGCACTGACATGGACTGGAGCTGTGGCAGTCTGGGGGGATGTGGGGTTAACTCTTCCTCCTCATGCCATTTCTAGAGTTGGAAATGCCGACCACTGCATCTTTAATCAGCAGGAGGATTTTGTCCTCCTTTTGAGGCATAAAGCAGCCCAGGACTGCCATTTAAATGCCATTTCTGTTACAGCAAATGAGTGTGTGTGTGTGTGTGTGTGTGTGTGTAAGCCTCAACCTCCACTGTTCCCAGTCCCACCACCCCATCCATATCGGGCTTCCCGACAGCAGCTTTTTGTGACTGAATTACAGTCTTTCATTTAATGAAATCAGGTCACAAACTTCAGTGTTCAAATATATTTGGCACATATCCTGCCTTAGCAAATGGCATTTCCATCCACAGCTTTGATCACATGGCTCAATATGATCTTCCAGCGACTGTAGATTTTATCCTGCAGAAAACTGGACAGCAGCAGTTATTTTATGTTGGTCATTCACAAGGAAGCACTATAGGTAAGCTGGCACGGCTGCCGTGTCCAAACAAAACTGATTTGAAAGTTAAGTCTGATTATTATATTTTATTCAGTGGGAATTACATGGAAGTGTGGACTGCATCTTATGCTCAACTGGGGGCTGCTGTCAAATGTGTTATCCCAATATGAGTTCCCTTCACTGGCCCTATAATGTGTAGGATCACTTAGCTAGTGTCCTGATAAAATCATATTGTGTGTTTCTCCACCAGTTGAAGATAATAAAATCAAGGAGGGGTATGGAAATGTATGACATGATGGTGCTAGGATGTGAGGTATATGACTGTATGGAGAATCTTCATACTCAGCATTCTGATGCCACTTCGTAGCACTGTGTTAAGTGAGCTAAAATCCTCAGCTCGGTGAACTAACACCATGGACTGTGGCACTTTCTCGAGAGTGAGCCCCATTGAATAAAATTGAGACTCACTTTTGAGTAGAGTCCCAGTAGATGCTTAATGGATATGGGTATCTTTTTATGTCAGGCACAAGACATTAGTTTTGTAGCATCAAGTTTCCTTTCAAGGGTTTCCACTTCCAATGCACTTCCTATACGTCATTTTTAGGCGCATGGCTCCCCAAATGATTCGCATCAATCAAGAGATATGTCTGCCATCAGGCTTATGAAGTAACAAAAAAAGATGTGCAAGGGAGGGGAGGTAGAGCAAAAGAGGATGGAGAGCATCTTGACAGAGGTTGACTGAAATGAGCATTTATATCCATTTGGGGACTGGACTAATCTTCCCTTGTTAGTCTTCTTGTTAGGATACTGGTGTTGCATCGGAGCGGTGGCGCAGGCGGATAAAACACCTGCATATAACATCTACAAACAGCTGTGGCAGCTGTTCGATTCCCACCGTGGCCAGAGTGAGCACCTGGCCCCAGTCCCAGCTCCCGCCAACCCAGCGGTTCAAAAGCACGATGTAACACCAAATGTGCGAGTAGATCAATGGGTACCTACCTTAGATGGTAGGGGGCACCCTCCCCCCATCGAGGGGGGTTCGTGGAGTGGTGGCGAGAGGCGAGACGACGGACGGCGAGCGGCGGAGAAATGGCGACGGAGGACAACATCTTAGAGGGTCCGGACGGTGGTGAAAAAGGCGGAGCCAGGAGGACGCCGGAGCGTGGAGGGCACAGGCGTGGCGGCGCCTCAATGGACGGAGCCGGAAGCCACACCGGAAGCGCGCCGAGCACCAGAGAGGCCCGCTGTATCACCACCAGAAAAAGATCACAGACAGAAAGAGGTAGAAGCCAGAAGAAGCTGTGCCGCCGATCCGCTGATCCGATCCAGAACGTCCCTCCACTGGGTGCTGTTAGGACAGTCCCCACCCCAGCATACATGTGGCCCTAGGTAAGGGATAATGGTTAACTGTAGCCACTCAGAGACCCCCTGGGGGAGTTCGAGCGGGGTAGCAAGTTGAAAGTTAAATTTAAAAAAAAACCTCTGTGGGAAGAGTGTTCTTCTCTCCCATCTACAGTCTGCTGTATGAATTTAAAAGTTTTGGGCTCGTTTATACAGTTCCTGGCTGAAAATTCTGTAGCAGGGTAAGGAAAATGCAAACTCACTGAAGGGGGCAGGATCCACAAAGCTAACTTTAAACTATGTTATGTATTTACTGTAAATTAGACAACTATACATTGTTAGGCACATTTTGCTGCTTGGGTTGCACCAGCTTCTGGAAAAACACACTCTTTTGTTGGAAGCACAAAATACAGCTTTGCACAGTTCTCTTCAGTTCACATTTGGAAAGATTCTGGTGGTGTGCCATGAGACAGAAAGTTAGGGTTGCCAGTGGCCTGGAGAAAAATAAATGTCTTTTAATGGATGCTTAATGTTACTTACCTCCATTCCAAGACAGGCTTCAACTGCCCATTTCCATACTTTAAACCTCTGTTAAAGGGACAGTGCATCTTTTCTCTCCAGGTTGTTGGCAATACTATGAGAAAGTGCCTCTTTGAGTATAGAGTGTTTGTGTAAACTTAATGCTGTATACCTGGTTTGCAAAAGTTCTGAATATTGGTAACAAAAGACTTGGAGCACACAATGAGATACTTTTTAATCACATACATTTCAGTGGGAGAAATTGTAATCATTATGTTAACTTTTCCATTGAATTCAACCAGACCTAAATATTGTTACCTGGATCATACCGACAGCAGCACTTCTAAAACTCAGATGTTTTCCGCGCAAATGGCTCTCCCCACTCTTGCATCTCTATTCCTTCGCCTGTTCAGCTGGTTTCCACAATGGTATTTGTTGTCCGAGATGCAAAAACAAGGTTTGTCTTCCCTTGCATCAGACTTCACTGTTTTTGGGAATTCTGTTACTGTACCAGAAGGAGGAGCAAACCTCGTTTTTGCACCCCGGACTGCAAATACCATTGTGTAAACCATCTGAACAGGCGAAGGAATAGAGATTCAAGAGCGGGGAGAGCCTTTTGTGCAGAAAACGTCTCAGTCATTGAGCGCTACCTTGGTTTTTGTATTACATTAATTGTCTGAAGTTACCTGCAAAATTTTAGAATTATTTTTAGCTATAATCTGCTTGTATTCCTGGAGAGAAAAAACATTTGTCTGCCTCTTTGCTTCTCCCCTCAGGTTTTATAGCTTTTTCCACTATGCCTCATTTGGCTAGAAAAATCAAGATAAACTTTGCCTTAGCTCCTGTGGTCTCAGTAAAACATGCCATATCTCCATTAAAAAAGCTTTTTACGCTTCCTGATTTCCTTTACAAGGTATGTACCTCTCTTGTCTTGGTTCTGTTGTGTAAAAATGGAACTGCATGTTAGTTCTGTGATCACTGTGATGGACTTAGGACTATATCAAGCTGACTTAATGCCAAGTCAGGTCACTGGTCCATGCTGTCTACTCTGAGGCGGTTTCCACATGGCGACAGGCTTGTGTGGCTTCCCTGGAGCTGGTGTAGCTGCTGATAAAGTGCAGTGGCAACTGGGCTTCCCTGTAGCAGCTTTCCCTGCAGTTTCCCTGCCCCAACCCTCCATTAGCAGCCGCCTCCCCTCCTCTGATACAGCACTAGGTGTATCAGGTTTTGTGAATTCTCAGCTAAGTCTGTAGCCCCTTTCCATTGCGAGGATATGCCATCCCCCTTATATCTCAACACTTAAAAAAGGAGAGAGCTGAGAATTTGCAGAACTTGAGACACTTATAGTTACAACAGTATCTATATATCTAATACCCAAGTGGCCCCGTCTGTGCGGGGGCCGGGGGGAAGCGCTGAGGCCCGGTGGCCAGAAGCCGCGCGGGCCTCGCTCTCAAGCCGGGGGCCGGGGGGAAGCGACGAGGCCCACCGGCTACAAGCCGTGCGGGCCTCGCTTTCCAGGCGGCGGGGGGGGGGGGCAGGCAGGCGCGCCGCCGCCCTCCACGC